ACAAGGTGCTCCCCAATTGCCTAGCCTCGCCATGGCGCCTTGAAAACTATGATCGACAATGATATCAGAAAGACTTATAAGCAATCAACTGGATTAGTAGTGGTAACGAATCAGGTGGGTATTCATTAAAATTCACCTTGGGGGAGGGGGGGTTTGATCCTTTCGCAATAGCTTATTATGTTAATGCATTGACTATATTTCATCAAGTTATGTAGAAAAACATTTTATAAAGAAAAATAACAAGGAAAACTTCATCTACCATGACAAACTTAAAAACTAATGGATTTAAATATAAGAGTCAAATTAAAACAAATTATTCGGATGATCTATCTACATGTAACTACTGAAGCTCAAACAAAACCATTTTACTGCCCTTTTTTACCAGGAAGCCAAATCCAAATCATATGGGGCATGTTGACACCAATCCATGCATTACATGGATTGCTTCTAGTACCTATATTAATTAGCTGTTTATAGGTAATTAAAGCAAATCTTATAATACTAAATTAAACACTGACCGGGCTTTCTTTCATTGACTATTCTCGCTTTCTTTCTTGGTCCCTGATCCTGCAGGAGAAACACTTAAAGAAGTGCCAGCACACACACACACACACACACACACAAATAACAGATAAAGAGGAAAAAGGATCTTCTCTCATATTAAACTCATCTTCATCAGTCATCACTAACAGACCAGAAGATAAGTTGTACAAGATATATATTGTATGGACTAAGTCAGCATCTTACCTTAACTTGACCAGTCTGTTGTTCTGAATCAGCATGCCTCAACTTGTGATGAGAAACTGGAAGGCATCAGTAGTTCAGGTCATTCAGATTACATTGATCATTTAAAGCTAAAAGAAATAAGTCAGGAGAAGTATAGACCTTGTGATTTTAAGGATTTACTTGAATTTCTTGAGGATTTCTGAAAACAAAACAACTTTTCATAAGTCACACTTAAAACTAAAGATAATATTTTACTTATAACTTTAGTTGTCATCCATTTATTTACAAATTTCACAAAATGCTTAGGTACCCAACAGCTCCACTATAAGAATTGTTAYACCATATGGATTTAAAAGTAGACCAATTAYATATTTCAAAAAATGCTAAGGTATCAAACTGCTCCACTATAAGGCCCTTTTCCCATCAACTAAACTAATAAAGTATCGGTAGCCACCCTCAGATGTTAATAGTAGTAGGCCCCCACACATTGGAATGCACAATATGAAATGGAAAACTGGATCTTCTATTACATGAAGGAAAAGATGTTCTGCATTGCTTCCTTAACTGGCAAGTTTGACATTGAAAGTTACACATTCAACATGACTTAAATAACGAAGGAAACAAATATTAATAACTTGAAGGACACATGACCTAGATGGTTGTTATGCCATAAAAACACCTGACTCTTATTTGAATAACTTGACTGACCACTTAACTCTAACGCTGATGCCACAAAACCAGTCATATTATCAAGAATATAGAGACTATCTACCATGCTTCCTCTATCGATTCAAGGAATGGGTAATACTGCTAATGGAAAGAAAATTGAAAAGAAGTTTCAGAATGTGCAACACATTAGCAAGGGCAAGGCCATGAGGAAGGAGTATTGATCCGTGACCTACAATGGAAGAGAACAATCCATTTGAAGCCTCACTTTATTTCTTCCAAACAGAGGACTAATAGGACTGAAAAAGATTGGACTTACCAATCATGAGGGGGGAATCAGTGGATACATGGCAGAGGCACCACTACCTAATGTAGACGCAAATGAAGTAGAGGGAATACTAATAGCTGCACTATCCATCTAGCACAAAGCCCTGCCATAAGACTCCAAATGATCATGGAAGGAGTTATTGATATCCTCCTTGAGGTCAAAACCAGCAATGATGCTCCTGAGTAATACTAGTAGGCACATTATTACCTTGAGAATCCCAAGCTA